AATTCCCTACTAACACCTAGTTCCGTTTTTAATAATCTTCTGTGGCTTGCATATTTCCCACATTTAACCAAAACATGTTCTACTGTCTCTACATCATCACACCATCTACATAAACCAGTAAGGTGTTTCCCCATCTTAAAAAGATTTCCATTTAGGAAACTATGCCCGGTTCTTACTCTATTTATAATTATCGCCTCCCTCCTGTTTATTCCTCTGATCCTTTCTACATTGACTGTATTTTGAATCCTAAATAAATGTCTTCCCTTTATTTCATTTTCCCACCCAACTTCCCATATCTTATTGCTTTCTTTCCAGATTATACTTTTGCCTTCAGATTTAGATAATTTTATTTGCATATCAATATCATCTTTTTTGATCTCCTCCTTAGCCGGCCTGTCTGCTCTTTCATTCCCCATAATACCTACATGAGCAGGAGTCCAGAATAATAAAACATTTTTATTTTGTTCACATAACCTATGATGAACCGCCATAATCTCATATAAAATATTTTGATGATTTTTTGTACGTCCCATTCCGATACTCATCAACGCAAATAGAGAGTCACTACAAACTATTAATATTTTATTCCTATTAGTTTCCTCCACCCATTCTAAAGCTACCAAAATAGCACATAATTCTACTGCGAATACACTCAATCAGATGCTCTTTTTGAAATACTAATCTTTAAATCAGGAATCATCTACGGCTATACTGGTTGCTTCACTTTTGGGGTCTTTCGACCCATCAGTATAAATTTGCAAGTAATTATATTTATTCTGCATTTGATTATAAAATTCTTAGCAAATGTCTAGCGTGTTCCTTTTCTTAATACAGTATGTGTTAGTGTTCTGTCTACATTAATATATTGCCAAGTCCATGTAGGTCTCAAAAGCCACAAAACAGTTGGACTAAATTCCTTATTATATACATTAAAAATTTTCGCTCTATCATCACCAACCCACCCAAAACTATCAATTTGTTTCTTTCCTCTTTCCCAACACTTTTCTAATACTTTCTATCCGGGCGATCTGCATTATGTCCTTTTAAACTTATCCAATAATTGACCATTAGCTGCTGTCTTCTAATGCATAATGGCATTTCTCCTGACTCTACTAGTAAAGCACATATTGGTGTTGATCTAACTGCCCCTAAACAAATTCTCATTGCTCTGGCTTGAATAACGTCTAACTTTTTTAACTGCTCAGGTGTTATGATAGCCCAGGTTGCTCTAATAGTGGCTTTTAGCTCTTCTGAATTGTTGGGTCTGGTGTATTGC